TGCGGTATGCGGGCCTCTCACTGTTGTGGCCTCTCCCGTTGCGGAGCACAGGCTCTGGATGTGCAGGCTCAGCGGCCATGGCTCACGGGCCCAGCCGCTCCGCAGCATGTGGGATCTTCCCGGACCAGGGCACAAGCCCGTGTCCCCTGCATCGGCAGGCGGACTCTCAACCACTGCGCCACCAGGGAAGCCCAGACAGTAGGTCTTATGTTAACACACACATGCAAAAATAATAATAACAAATAAAGAGGGTGGGAGGAAACTCTTGGAAGTGATGGATATGTTTATGGCATAGATTACGATGATGGTTTCCTGGTGTATGCTTATCTCCAAGCTCATCAAGTTGTATACATTAAATAGGTACCGTTTTTTTGTATATCAATTATACCTCAATAAAGTTGTTCAAAAAGCAACAAAAGGGACTGCCCTGGTGGCACAGTGGCTAAGAATCCTCCTGCCAATGCAGGGCACACGGGCTCGAGCCCTGGTCCGGGAAGATACCACATGCTGTGAGCAACTAAGCCTGTGCGCCACAACTACTGAGCCTGTGCTCTAGAGCCCGTGTGTGACAACTACTGAGCCCACATGCCGCAACTACTGAGTTGGACGTGGATAAGTAAGTCATGTAAACATGGCTAAAAAAGTTTTAATGCTGCAATCAAATGAAATACAGAGAATTTAATCTGACTTATTTGTATGACGTGTATCTGTTGAATGAAATGAAATTTCAAGTTAACAGGAACAGTTAATTATTTAAGTGGGAAGTTCTCAATAATGAGAAGCATCACTGTATCATATTTACATATTAATAGATATTATTATTTATATGTTATGTTATACTACACTATTATGGTATATCATTATATTAACAGATACATCTGTTTTGTTCTAGGAAATCAGACAGCCAGTAATTAAAAGAAATCTGTATTGAGAACTAGGTAACATGTTGAAAACCCTAAAGAAGCTCCAATTTCTTTATGTATTTGTTTATTTATTTATTTATTTTCTTTATGACCTGAACTTTTTAAAAATTTTTATTGGAGTATATTGATTTACAATGTTGTGTTAGTTTCTGCAGTACAGCAAAGCAAATCTGTTATACATATACATATATCTACCCTGTTTTGGATTCTTTTCCCATATAGGCCATTACAGAGTATTGAGTAGAGTTCCCTGTGCTATTCAGTAGGTCCTTATTAGTTATCTATTTCATATATAGTAGTGTGTATGTGTCAATCCCAATCTTCCAGTTTATCCCTCCCCACTCTTACCTCCTGGTAATCATAAGTTTATTTTCTACATCTGTAACTCTCTTAGAAGCTCCAATTTAAAATTTTCTACTTTTTAGTAACTGGAACAGTACTAGCACTCATTATATACTCAATAAATACATGTTAGATTAATTACATATTGAACTTAGTAATGTGTGTGATCATTTTAGGTCAGCACATTAATTAGGCATGGATGAGAAGGTTAGACGGTTCAAAGACAAACTTTACTTTCTTCACAAGAAGAAGTTTATCTTTGGATCCTCTCTTTTTTTTCTTTCTAAAGATTCCAGTATTCACAATCCAGATCTGTATTTGAAGAACTCGTAGCTCACAGGCCTACATGGCCCCTGGAGGGTCTGGGCCCCAGGACCTTTGTGGTTGCACAGGACATCGCCTGTCCCTCCCTGATGAACCCTCTGGGGCCCACCACCTCCCGCCTTGAAGCAGGTGGAGGAAGGGAAAGTGCAGCGGTGAATTCCTCAGCCCTTTTTTCGAGTAGAAGAGAGAAAAGCAGAGTAGCATTATGCTCACTTCCCCACCTAGAAGATCAGGCCTGAGGCTGAAAATGACAGTATGTGGAGTCCTGTCGCCCCACCTAAGATGACCTCCTCTCCTGGAACAGTGGTTCTCAGTCCCAGAATTGGAATTAGGTCGTAAGGTATTAAAAGTGATTGGTGCCTGGGTCCCACCCTCCAGAGCTGCCTTGCCTGCCTGCGGTGGAGATGCGGGCAGGCAGAGTCATCATACCTGTGGCCATGAAGCGGTGCGTGGCCAGCAGAAGCTGTGGAGAGATCTTCACCCTCATCTCCGAGTCAGAAAGCTTAAACAAGGAGAAGTCGTGCCGCTTCCTCTCCCTGTGTGGGACCCTCTGCTTTTTCCGATTGTCGGCTGTCGGGACAGGGGACACATTGCAGCTATCTCAGAATCGCTAATGGTTTTTGGAGGTTTCACCATAGCCACCTGAGACAGATAGTTCCTTTGGGACCACAGGGATTTCTGGAAAGTGTCAACTGTAGGTGACATCGCAACATCTCTTTCCCAGAGACTGGAAGGATGTGGATAAGGGATAGAAGGTGGGAGCTGCTGCCATGTCTCAGTGTTACTTGCACTGAAGTGGTGAACAGTGGAAAAGGGGAAGGCCAGCCTGGGGCTCCCAAGTTCAGGCTTCTAGGGCTGGCCTCCCTGTTTACGAGCTGTGCAAGCTCTCCAAGCATCAGAGTGTTCATGTGTTTTAATCTATACAATAAGGTTAGTGATTAATCATAATTTTTCTGCTCATCTCAGGAGTCTCTTATTATGAGACTCCAATCTGAACCTATCTATGAAATGCTTACAAAAAGGCGTTCAAACTCGAGGAACTTGCACTCTTAGCCTCAAGGACTTTGGCAGGGCCCAGGGGGTTTCTGCCTCTGCCTTTCTCCTGTCCCCAGAGCTGAGCTCACCTGGTCTCTTCCTGCTGATTTAAACCACACTCTGAGTGGTACTTGAGGCATGCCACCCAAGGGAGGAGGGCAGACACCCCCCTCCCCACTGACAATTCTCTTGCTTCAACCCTGGCCCCTCCACGGGGAGAGAACTGGGGGAAATAAAGGAAAGAAGGAAAAAAAATGGAAATAGCTCTGTAATCTATAAAGGTGTGTCCTCTGGGTGGCGGCCTCAGGCAGGACTATTGTGATTACTAATTGAGAAAATCTCTGCTTTTTCCAGTTTAATTTTTTCTTCCTGCTTTTCAAAAGCTTGTCTTAAAAAACATGTTTAGGGGGTAAGGGGAATGTTTTCTTTGGTCATGTCTCTTTTGCTTTCCCTTAGTATTGAGTAAAATTTCGAAACTTTAGTCTATCTTAACCTGTGCTAAGGGGAGCAAAGAAACAGATTTGGGTTTTCTCCAAAGTTGGCCTAGAGAAAAACAGGGCTGCAGGGAACTTTCAGTGCAGGCTGAGAGGACACAGTGGAAATGAAAGGGAATGAACTCCAGGGACAGGGTTTCCTTTGGACTCTCCCCCTCCCTTTGGAGCTCACCCCACCACACAATTGGGGCTCCCTTCTGGAGGGAGAAAGTGCCTTCCACCGCACTGCTCTCTTGTGGGCCTGCCTTGGACTCTGGGCCCTGGCTTTAACACTCCCTGTGTCTGGCTGCCACAGTGGTGAGATCCAGGCCCAGCTGCCCTGGGGGGTCAGGGTCCAGGGAGAAGCAACACTGTATTCCTGGCTCCTTGGCCTTCTCAAAGCTCTTAAGGATTCATGCCAGAGTGGGAAAACCCTCTCCTTTAGAGAGAGGACGGTGAGGCAAGACAGCAGCAAATATATGTATCAGACCAGTCCTTTTGTGTGACTAGTGAGTAACGTTCTGATTTGCATGACACCTTTGTCTAAATATCCCCTCTCCCTCCTCCATCAGAATGCCACCGAACAGTTCATCATTGGAGAATCAGTCTTCTGATCTCCCTCTTCATTCCTTCAATTTTATTAGTGTGCATTCGGAGTATTAAGTCATTCAAACAAAGGCCCCCGGAAGAGCTTACTCATTTAGACCCCTGTCACTACTATCAGTCACTAACACTTTAGTGTGTATGTTTTCACCACTATATCTATTGAGACACTTGGGAATTCTAAATCATGAGCCATGGGCAGAGGTGGAGAAGGGAGAAAGGAATGGGGGAGGGAGAAATTAATCCCTAACTCAAGAAGATGAGCCCCCTCAGGGCTCCACAGCAATAGCAGACACTGGGACACTCCTGCTATGTTTCATTAAGACCTGACCCACCTTTTAGGTCTCACCCCAAAGTGAAGCACTCTCTCTGTACCACTCACTGCCTTAAGAGTCTCAAAACCTTTTCTACAGGGAGCTAGTCTCTGAACAGCTGCCTCTAGCAAACTAAGGATAGGGGTCCGGAATGGGTTATCTAAGGGGAGGAAAAGGGACTGCTGTCCCAGGTGATGAAATTCATTCGGGAGGAGGAAATACTTCCTGGCCTAGGGGCTCCCATGGATTTAGATAACACTCCCATCCCTGAGGAAAGCAGGCCTTTGTAATGTTTGCAAGCAAAGCTGTGATAAGGCTCAGTAACCGAAAGCAGTCACTATCTGCAAGAAGGAGTCCGTGTTGTTCCTGAGGGGGAGTGGGGAGGGGGGGCCAGGAGGCCAGAAAGGAGGGAGCAGGGACCAGAGCCAGGGGTGGGAAGCGGGGAGAGGGAGAAACCAGGCGGCAGGGCTGAAAACGCACAGGGGACAAGAGCGACTAAAAGGGCGACTTCAGGTTTAGCTTAGGTTGTGGTGGGCAGTCTCGTGAGTCTCTACGGCTCACGGATGTTTTGAATGAGTGGATCCTGAGTGGAACCCCAGGGGGTGCTGGGGTCTGTGTCTAGGTGGACGAAGAGACAAACCAGGAACAGCACAGGGGACAGAAACAAGGGCAGAGGGGTCATCCGAGGTGCACTTTATTTCCTTTGGTTCCTTTTCCATCCAAAGGCCAGGAGGTCTCCTTTTCATAGTCTTGGCTGTGTTCCTGAAGGTTCCCTCTGGATAAACACTTAGCTAGCACACTCTCAGTGACTCAGGGATGGTTCAAGTCAGGGCATCTTGCCGTGCCGGCTCCTGGCAGGAGGGGGCTGACACACAGCAATGCCTGGGGCTTGTCCTGACCCCCTTTTACACTGTTCACCAAACTAAGCCAGCTCTGAGAATCTCAGAGAAAAATATGATGGCCTTGGACAAGAGCCAAGGCTGTGCACTTACTGTAGAGGTCAGTTTCATCCAGGATCTCCGACTTGATGATCTCCTCTATGATGTCCTCCAGTGTGACAATGCCCATCACCTCATAGAAGGGGTCCCCTTCTCCCTCATTATTCACCCGCTGGACAATGGCCAGGTGAGACTTTCCTAGAGATGAAGGAAGTCACAGTTAAGCATCTGGGACATTTTCAGAGAACTTTCCTTGTGAGAAAATTATACTAAGTTTACCTCTGACCAGTCTTGGGACTCAACCCATCCCAGGACCTCCTTAAAATATGAAGTTTGTGTACAAGTTCTTATAAATGCAAACTTTATACTTCTACATCACCGTCTCTTCTTAAGAAAGTTACCTAATATACACAATGTCATTTAAATGTTTTTTTCTGTAACTTTCCTATGTTAGCAAGTATATCTAAGCTGAAGGATAATGAATAATCTAATTGAGAGAACAAGAATTAGGCGTCAGAAGAATTAGGTTAGAAGACTTTTTCCTCCAGAAAACTTCCCTGCCCCCACCCCCTACTATCCCAGTGACTAACTGTGCAACTGATCCTGGATAAATCATTAAACCTGTACTGAGCCTCAATCTTCTCATCTAGAATTAGGGGATAATACCAGTATGGTGATTTTCAAACACGGCCCCCAAATTCTTTGATATGCCTTCTACTGAGAGGTGTGGTCTAATCCCTTCCCTTGAGTCTGGGCGGGCTTGTGACTGCTTCAACCAATAGAGAACAGGGAAGTGTTGGCTATGAGCCTTCTGAGGCTGCGTCATAAAAGGCATGTATCTTCTGCTGTAGAAACACTCTAAGAAGTCTGACAACTATCGTGAGGCCACCACGGTGCAGAGGTCACATGTAGGTGCTAAGGTGACAGTCCCAGCTGAGCCTGGCCTTTCCGCCATCCCACCAAAGCGCCAGACAGGTTAGAGAAGAAGCCATCTTGGCAGTGGATCCAGACCCACCGCTGGTGTCCTCCCCAGCCATCCACGATGTCTCCAGCTGGGGGCACAGTCACAGAGAAGCAGAGATAAGCAACTCCCACTGTACCTTGTCTGAATTCCTGACTCAGGAATCTGTGAGCATAATAAAATGATTGTTGTTTTATGCTTCCAAGTTTTGGGGTGGCTTGTTAACAGCAGTGGTAACTAGGACAACCAATATCCATAAGGTAATTGTGGAGCTCAAATGACTTGGTGGATGTGTGAAAACGCTGTGTAAACTATGATGTGTCATAGGCAGTTAGTTAACTGACTGCCCAACCGCTGAATAATAGTTAACATTTATTGAGCTCTAACTACGAGCCAGGTACTATTCGGAGCACTTTACATGTATTAGTTCATTTAATCCTCTTAACAACCCCTGAGACAAGTACCATTATTATCCCTATTTTACAAGGGAAAGAACTGAGGCACAGATTGGTTAAGTAATAAGCCTAAAGTTACACAGCCTGTAAGTGGCAGAGCTGGATTGTGAACCCAGGTAACCGGGTTCGGTCCTAACCTGGCGACTGAGTCTTACCTAACAGCCCTGCTTCACCTTGATCTGTTTTCATCTGCTGATAGATGCATTTCCTGGATCTGTTTCTAAAATGTCAATCTGGGTGGTTCTTTTCCTTGGCTAAGAGAACATCTCTTTAAATTAGGAGAATATCTAGGGTACTGACTCAGATGTTATTCTTGCCAAAAAAAAAAAAAGGAAGTTCATGCCTTATCATTACTACCCTTTATAAACTTTTGCTTGGCCATTGCTAAAAATATCAGATAAGAGGAGTAGTCAGTTTGCCAGAGGCATAATTAACCGTTAACATTTAAACAAATGAATTTCTGTATCAAATACCTCAAATCACAAGATAGCTACTTAGTGGGATTTTTAATAATGGGAAAGATGGTATCCATATCACTCAAGAAGGGTCTCTAATTTCCTCTCTACCTTCAACCCATCTCTCAACTTACTCCCAAACTGATCTGATCAGGCCACTGCCCTGCTCAAACACCCGCCAAGGCTCCCTAGTGTGCACAAAATCAAATCTAGGCTCCTTAGTTCGCTATTATCAAGACTGTAAAATGTAGCTCTTGCCCGTCTTTCTGACTGTGTGCCTGCTGCATCCTCTAATCATCCTGGACTCCAGGTGCGCCAGGTTACCTCCAGCTCCTCAACTTCCTCCACGTCCACTCTCCAAGTCCTCACTCACACTGCTTCCTTCTCCTACTCTGTCTCCACTGACCCTTTGAGTTCCAGCTCAGGTGCCAGCTCCTCAAGAAAGCTCTCCCAGATTCGCCCCATTTTGTATCTGAATCAACCTCTCCTTGCCTGTGTTTCTAAGCCCTTGATAACTCCATTAGCGCATTGATCACAATTTGCCGCTTCTCGTATCTTGCAATGTGTGTGTCCTCTACTGGACCACGTTTCCTCCTCAGATCATGAGCTTCTTCAGGACAAAGGCTCATACACTGAGACAGGGTTCTCTCCATATAACAGGCAGCCAATAAGTGCCTGAGGAACTGAAGTAAGACTGAATAAAAATCCATAGTTGATGTAATAGATGGTATTAAACCCAGACACTAAAACCTTTTTTAAAAATAAAATACAGGGGCTTCCCTGGTGGCGCAGTGGTCGAGAGTCCGTCTGCCGATGCAGGGGACACGGGTTCGTGCCCCGGTCCGGGAAGATCCCACGTGCCGCGGAGCGGCTGGGCCCGTGAGCCATGGCCGCTGAGCCTGCGCGTCTGGAGCCTGTGCTCCGCAACGGGAGAGGCCACAACAGTGAGAGGCCCGCGTACCGCAAAAAAACCCCCCCAAAAAACCCCAATGTGTTTAAATTAACATTTAAAATCCATCAGTGGTTCTAAAATTATCCTTTGAAACAACTACATCCTGCCCAATTGGACTGAAGTGTTTTGTAGCTTAAATTAGATTATGTTAACTGTTAGTATGTGCTCAATTTAAAGTCGTTTTTTTAACACCTGTTCTTAAACTTCTGGCACCTGTTCTCACTTTTCTGCTAACATGTGCTAGAGATGACAAAACAAATGACTACCATAACGGAAAAAACTGGAAAAGTGATTTCTTAAAATTATTTTCTTTTTTTTAATTGGGGTATCGTTGTTTTACAATGTTGTGTTAGTTTCTACTGTACAGCAAAGTGGAGTTCCCTGTGCTGTAAAGCAGGTTCTCATTAGTTATCTATTTTATACATATTAGTGTATATATGTCAATCCCAATCTCCCAATTCAACCAAAATTATTTTCTATAATTGGATAATTTTTGTTATGTGGAGCCCAGAATATATATAATATAGCCATACTTCCTGCCACTAAGAGATTAGTTCATATAATGGGATTAAATAAATTAACATCTTATGTTGTTTCACAAAGAGTGCCATAACTTCCATGTGAAAATCCACCATTTGTGTACACCTTATAAGGTCAATTTGAGGACAAGCTATGTGATCACCAGGCAGTAGAGATTTTAAGTCCTAATTGTAATATTCAAGACAATGTACTTATGTAATCTATTTAGAAACATTTTAAATTCACAATCAGCCTTTATGATTCCCTCAAATGCCTGTAGAGATCTACAAACAAATGAAGGAAGTCATTGTTTCTTGGGGACAGACTGGAACAGGAATCAGCACTCACATAACCCTGTTCTGAGCTGACACCAGGACAAGAAAACCAGCTGTTCCCATGACACACATACCCGAGGTCCTTCCCTCAAAAAGTCTGGCCTTTAAGAGACCTGCCTCCTGGTACTCCTTCTCTTCCTGGGCCCCAGAAGTGTTGGGGAGCTGTGGGCCTGGGGCATAATAGGTTCATGGCTTTATCAGAGATCTTATCAACCCTGAGGGATGACTCACAAGTATTTAAAACTGGGGCAGCAGGGGCTCAAATTTCCCAAGTGTTTTCACCTTTTTCTGGGCAAAAGCTGGTTTCTGATATGCATTATTTCTCCTCCCACGGATGAGTGTTGTGTTTACTTCCTAATGGCATACTTGAGGGAGTGGCTTAAATCTTGGCTAATCCCCTCTTCTGCCCTTCCATGAGGTTCTGTGAATGGGAACTGTGGCCTTTTCTGCTGAGCTGTCCCTCTACAGACCAGCAGAATTTTTCAAGTTCCTTCTCACGACTACTAGTCTATTGATTTCAGTTTCCTTCCAACTTACTAGAAAAGCGGGATGTCTGTGAAATAATTTAGGCTGACAATGATGATCATTAACATTTATATAGAACTTAACAATTTGTTAAGAGGTTCCACACAGGGTACAGGAGAGTCATGGAGATTGTGAGGAGATGTTCCTGAGAATTGTGAGAAGCCCTCATTTTGTGAATTAGAAATGTTTGGCCAGGTCCCCAGCTTTCTCCAGAATCTGTTTAGAGACAATAAGAACTGATGTCTTATGCATGTTTCTTGGGTAGGTCCTGTTCCAAGTGCTGATGATATATCAGTGAGTATGACGTAGGAGGAACAGTAAAGGAGACTGAGAAGGAGTTCCAGAAGGTAATGAAGTCTCATATTTCCCTCCTTCCAATTTTGGGTGTATAGTTCTTAATTTCCATGCCCTCATTGTATCCTGGATGACTGCACTAACATCCTAACCAGTCCTCCTTTTGTTTTTTTTTTCTGTTCTAAGGCATACTATCCACTAAAACCAGATTGACTGCTCCCAAACATTGCACTTACGAAGTTATTCCCCATCTCAATAACATGGACCAATAACCACAGAGGGTCATTTCTGAGCTCTTTTTCCTGTCATTAGAGGCCTCCATGGTTTAGGGTATATACCTTGCCTTCTTTCCCACTACTCTATCAAAATATAGAGCATTTTGAATGATTTTGAAAATATTTCTGAATGCTTTTTCCCCATTCAGAAAATAACTGGTCCAAGGATACTCAGCCAATAAATGGTGGAGTCAAAATGTGAACTCAGGGAACTGAAGAGGACCTACCCAGCTAGGATTTGTGGAAATCTCTGAGACGAACTGAACAAGACTGGATATTTTAACCTCAGGCCTTTTAGGCACAGAACTGGCCTAGGAGGCTGCCTGTGGGGTCGATTTGACTCTCTCCAGGTTCAGGCTAAACATAACCAGGATCCTCTGCTTAACAATCACCATTGGCTAAGCTTTGGCAGATGGTGTCATTCTCA